AGATGGTGGACGGACCGGGTCCGTAGGGAACCCTACCGGGATTGTGGTCTCCCATACTGGACGGGGTATAGAGATCTTATGTGTTTTGGTGCCCATACCGGACGGGGTATGGGGACGGCCCGTTTCACCCTCATACCAGACGGGGTAATGAGGTTTATTGTTTTGGCGCCCATACCGGACGGGGTATGGGGACGGCCCGTTTCACCCTCATACCGGACGGGGTAGTGAGGTCTATGGTTTGGCGCCCATACCGGACGGGGTATGGGGACGGCCCTGGAATATGATTTCAAGTGTTAAGGATTAACGGGTAGCGGGACCCCTATGGATCCCCATGGATACTAGTGGGCTGGTGAATTAGGAAAATATGTTGTGTAACGATTGAATTACGAAAAGTGTGATAGGTATTACGTTATACAGTTCATATATATGTTTTCATGATGATGATGATGTTATTGCTTTCGTATATTGTTTTATGAATTTCACCGAGGTAAGTGAATGGTAAAGGTTTTATTATCGATAAAAGGATTTGTTGTAAATTATGCTCCATTGGTCTTTTGTATTTTCTACCCACCTTTACCTCCGTGACGGTGAGATATCGTGATGTCTTTACTGGGCTAGTGTAGCTCATTCCTTATTTAATCATTTCAGATCAAGAGGACATCGTTCCCGAGCCGATTCCGCAGGAGGACGACGAAGGGGATGCCTAAAGACTCCATAGTCACATTCGTAGTTTTTACTTTCAAGTTTCTCCTTTAGCTAGTTTAATTTTTTATATTTTGTGAGCACGTTTCGGTTTCAGTGTAAGGGATGTTATTCAAATTTTAACATCGCTTCCGCATTTGATATTTTTGAATATAAAATTCCATTTTAAATTTCCGGGGGTGTTACATATTATCTTTATTTTCATTAAATTAAATTAAATTAAAAAAATCAATTAAAATTTCAATAATTACAAAATAAACAAAATAAAATAAATTAAAAATTAATAATAATAATAATAATAATAATAATAATAATAATGGGTGTTACATTTTGTATTTGTAATGTAATCTTCCACTACATGACATTCTCTTCTTCTTTGTTTTCTGTTTTGGAAGAATTGAAAATTATTTAGGTAATTTTTTTCTGGGTAAAAATATCTCCATGTTAGTTTTGGAATTGAATAGATTTTAATTAATTAAATATGAGTTAATTATTTTATATTTATTTATTAAAAAATAGAGTAAAAATAAAAATTTAAAATAAATAAAAAAATATTGAAAATTAATTTATAATATTTTTATTATAAATTAAATTATACTAGATATCAAATTTTATATATAAATTTAATTTAATTTTAAATTTTAACATATTTATTTTATATATATTAATCAACAAAAATAAATAATTTATAATCGAATGGATGAAAAGTTAAATACCAAACGAAATGGAGCTCCAAATGAATTGGTGAAAATCTAAATAACTTATATTGATTGAGTATGTATTAATAAAAAAAATGATTGAAATTAATAAGTTGATTGAATGTATATAAATATTTAATTATTTATAAATTATTAAAATTAAAAATTGTTCTAATACAATTTGTTTATTTATATTATAAAAATAATAATAGTAAATATTATATAATAGATAATTTTTTAATTAATTTTTTATATTAATTATAAAAAAATTAAATTGTTATTTTTTATAATAAATTTATTTTTTAACATATTTTTTAAAAAATTTATTAAAATTATAATTTAAATAATTTTATAAGTTAAATGATTAGAGTCTTTATTTTTATTCGCTTCTATTTAACATTATATACAATATAATATAAATAAATTAGTAATTTAATTAAATATACAACAACACCATCTTATCAATTTAAATAAAATAACTGACATTATTTTATATTAATATACAATCTTTTTAAATATTGTATAATTTTATAATTATCACCCCGTACAATTAGTATGTTTTACGGTAAATTAATTACCCCTAACAAAAATCATCCAAACACGTCGTAAAATTTCTTTTT